AGGAGGAGGACTCGCTGTGCATGTGTGTGAATGAGTGAGGAGGAGGAGGAGGACTCGCTGTGGCGACTCCTGAAGAGGGAACAGCCGAAAGACAAAGACCCTCCAACCTGAACCTGAAGCCGTCACTTCTCAACTAAAGCATAAAAAAAAACCTGCACAGAGCGAACGATGCAGCTGTTGTTGAGCCGTGCTGCTCCACCTTCCTGCTCAAACATCCACCCAAACACCACCCAGTCCGTTCACACTGACATCAGCCACAGCACCAGGCTGTAAATATGCAGCGGAGCAAAGCCGCACCTCAAACAGCAGAGGAGACTGAAACAATGCATTCCCCGTGGACGCCGTTACCGCCGTCCCCCGGCGAGCTCGCTGCCGACGCTTCGTCACTCTGGAAATAGATTTCAGTTGAGTCGGCTCAACGTGCAGCGGCCCGCTTCTGTTCGGAGGATTGTTTTTGTTCCAGTCGGGAGCTCGCAGGTTGGACTCTCACTGATGAAAAACAAGCCGTTTAATAATCTCGTCATTTAGAAATCAAAGTCAGATTGTTCCGTCTGGTTCAGCTCAGTCGCAGCGACAGAACCAGAGCAGACATCTCGTGCTTCTCGACCCTCGGCTGAGCTCCGTCTGCTCGAAAAGTCATGAAAACAATTCCCTTCAGCAGTCTTCATCAAATTACGTTACTGACATGAACTTACATAAACTAGAGGAACTACACTTCCTGCAAGAGTGCAGTGTGAATGCTTATTGCAGAAGGACTTGCTAAAAACAGCTGAAATTAGATAAAAACATGCTGAAATTTAGCTAAAATGGAAGAACAAGCCTAAATTAGAAGAAGAAAGCAGAATAAACACACATTTGCTAAATTAAGTTTAAATAAGGAGAAATGAGCACAAAAAATAAATGGCATTTAGTTATAAAAAGCTAAAATAAGCAAAAAAAGAGCTGAAAAGTACCTGAAAAGTCAGAAAAAAAAGCTTAAACTAACAGAAGGAAGTGGAAAGAGCTGAAATAAGCTAAACATGTGGCTTTAGTAGAAACAGCTAAATAGTAGTTGAAAGAGTAGCATAAAAAATTATTTAGGCTGAAAGTAGCAAAAATGACCATGAAAATTTTGTATTTATCTGAAAGCAGCCAAAATTAGCTAAAAACTGCTAAAGGTAGCTGAAAGCTATAACAAGTTTAAATTAGCAGAAGAAATCAAAAAGAACACGTTTGCTGAAAGAAGCAGAAATGGAAATTATCTGGAAAAAAAGCTGAAATTAGCAAAATACAGCTGCGTAGCTAAAAAAAGCAGAACGTAAGTAAACTTTATTTATATAGCACTTTTCATACATAAAAACGCAAAGTGCTTACAGAAATACAAAGTAGCTGAAATTACCAGAAGGAAGTGCAGAGAGCACATTTTTCATGATTCAGGCTGAAAAAAATTAAACGAGTGCAAAAAATGTGGAATTAGCTGAAATAGCTAAAATTAGCATAAAACAGCTAAATAGTAGCTGAAATAGCAGAAACTTGCAGAAATAAGCAGAAAGGGTCAAAACAAGCTGAAATTAGCTGAAAGTAGCTAAAAAAGTTTAAATTTGCAGCAGGAAGCTGAAAGAAGCTTGAAGCAGAACAAAATGTGAAAGGAGCAGTAAAAGATTTGAAGGATGTAAAATGATTTTAATTCGTTTTCTATGAGAGAAAAAAATGTCAGAAAAGGCTAAAACATTAGAAAAAGCTAAAGTTGCACCAATACCAAAAGTCACAGCAGGATTGTCCTGAAAGAGGTGAACGTTTTGATTTATGATTTGTGGAAACGGCTTCAAAACTGCGGGACGAGAAAGATGCTGAAAAACATACGGAAGAAAAAAGATCAAGGAAACCACCTGAATCAGGTTCCAGGTGAATCCACAGAAATCAGGTTTGTTGTGACCTTCACACAGTAAACTAAGGTCACTGACAGACGAACAAATCTCAAAAAACAGCTGTTGTATATTTTCATGTGATGCTGAAACCCTGGCTTTGACAGGATGAACCTGTCCCCCTCAGGACCCGGAGGCGGACGCGAGTCTTACTTGACGACGTGGACCGCGCAGCTGAAGGCTCGGTTGTCTTGCAGCCAGTCGAGGAACGCTCGGACTCTCTCAGACAGAGGAGTCTGCAGCTCAGGAACGTGACTCTGCGAGAACAAGAGGAGAACCAAAACATCAGCAACATCATTCTCGGTGCCGAGGACCCAGAACATGCCTGTGGCCGCGACTGAGGGTTCCGTAGGCAGCTCCGGGATTCAACGACCCGTTGTTACAAAAATAAAAATCACAGCGTAAACATCAGCTGACAGTTCGGGGTGTCGCCATCACGCCCACAGTGTGGTGGCGACAGAACCGCCGAGGAGGCTGCAGGAAACGCTGAAGCAGTAAATGTGTCTTTACAAGAACTGGAACAAAACATTTTCAGGGCAGCGAGCAGCTGCATTCAGCTCATGTCTGCCGAGTCGTCGTGTTACCGACCATGTTGGGGGGAACTGCAGCGTAGCTCGGACAGCCCAGGACGTCTCGGATGAACGTTTCACCGCAGCATTTTCCGACCCACAGATAAAACACCTGCAGGAAACAAACGGACACGTGACCGAGCTTCCAAGAGTTTAATCTTTCATTCGGTAAAGAAAGGCGTCCGTACGTCGCCGCAGTCCAGGAGGAAGGCTCCGTCTCTGCTCAGCCGGTCGGCCGAAAGGTGCAGCAGGTGAGGCTGAGGAACGACGGTGTCGTTCAGGTGGAGCGCCCCCTACAGGTCCAACAGAACAACAGAGGCGTTATGTGGACGCTCAACTTCAGAACGTTTTAAATGTTAAAAAAGGTCCAGATTCAACTCGACGTCCTGGTTTGGACCAAAGGTTCTGTTGGACGTGTCCCACCTGGTCAGACATGTTGTCCAGCCTGTAGAGGTCCGGATGGACCATCCTCATCAGCTGCGGCAGCGGCTGCGTCTTAAACTCACACATGGCGAAGACGCGCTCGTCCAGCCGCGTGCTCGTGCCGGTCCGAAGAGCTTTCTGGAACGAAACGTGAAGAAACTAAACACAAAAAACGTTTTCTGCTAAAATACAGCGAGAGCGCTGAAGGACTTCACTAAAACCTGTTGAAGCTAAAACTGAGATGGTAAGAGCTAAAAGAAGCAGGACAGGAGCTCAAAGCAGAAAAATGCCAGCTAAAAGCTAAAAGCAGCTAAGCGTGGGATAAAAGCCAAACGCAGCAAAACCTATTGTAGCAATCAGCTAGCTAAAGGCTACAAATAGCCAAATGTTTGTTAAAATTAGCAAAATATTAGCTAAAAACAGCAGAAGAGTGGCTAAAAGCTACCCTTCTGTAGCAGAAGGGTAGCTAAAAAAGTTTTAAGGAACAAAAAGGCTAACTAAAAGCTAAAAATGAGAAAAAGTTAGCTAAAACCATCAAAAGACTAGCTATAGCTAGCCTTTAGCTAGTAGCTATAAAAGATTAGCTAGAAGTTAAAAAGTGCAAACAGCTAAATAAAAGTTTGAAAAGGCTCAAAGCCAAAGGTAGCAAATGCACAGCTAAAAGTAACAGAATGATGGCTAAATGATAAATGTAGCAGAAGGTAGCTAAAATCCCAAAAGTAGTCAAAGGACAACTAAAAGTTAAAATTCTAAAAGGATAGCTAGAAGCTAAAAGTAGCAAAAAGCTGACAAAAAACAGAAATATGAAAAGGTTAGCTGAAAACTTAAAGTATCACGGAGCTAGATAAAAATTACAGGTAGCAAAAGGCTAACTAAATGCTAAAAATAGCTTTAAGCTACACATAGCAAAATATTAGCTACAAGTTAAAATAGCAAAAGGCTAACTATAAGCTAAAAGTATCAAAACTGAAGAGGACTCGATGCGTTTTTACAGGAAAATATTTGTAAATAAAGTTATTCTGATCAACACCTACAGTGTGTGTGTGTGTGTGTGTGTGTGTGTGTGTGTTCAAATAGGTGTAAACATGAATTCAGTCACAGTATGAGCAACTCTCCCCCAAGACTTCCTGTAAAATCTGTAATTCAGGACAGTAAGGGCGTGTCCCTGTGGGGACATTATTATTATTATTATTAAATTACATTATTAAAAATAATCAGATTGATGTTCAGGTCAGGGTTCTTTCAGGATGAGAGCTTCGTATTTTAACGAGTCAATTTAAAGTCGACGACATTTCTTCTCGTTTTGGTTCACTTCTAAACGCAGCCTCACCTGTTTGAGGAGCGCGAGGACGTAGAGGGGGAAGAGACGCATGACCGCGGGGACGACGAGTCCGGACTGCTGCAGGTTGGACACGCTGCTCCTGTAGGCGCTCATGAAGTCCACCACGGCGTTCACCACGGCGTCGCGGGCGTCCGACAGGCTGGACGACACGGACCGGTCGATGGCTGGAAACAAAAACAACGAATCAACTAAAATAAACGGATAAAAGACTTAAATCCAAAATCAAATTCCTAATTATGAAGAGAACTGAGATGTTAAAGCTCCTGGATCGAAATTAAAAATAGTGTTTTTTATTTTATTTTACCAGTACTGTCAGAAATTCAGCTGTTTTCCACACAAAACCAGCATAAATCCATACATTTACACACACATTTTTAAAAAAACTATCCCTCAAATAATTATTTAAATGAAAAAACAAATGCTTTAAACAACGATTACCGGTTCAAGGGCCAAATATTGTTTAAATCATTCCATGAACAAGCACCTACATTATATTTAACGTTAATAAATCTTGTTAATCTCGACATTTATGAGGCCAATCTAAAAGATGCAGATTAAATCTGGGTCCGAGTCATTTTTAACAATCTTAGGTTCGTGTTTTTGTGGACGTGTACAAAGAAAATAAAACGTGACGCACAGTTTATGCAAACAAGGGGTTCTTTTATGAATTAAAATAAATGTATTAATTAAAAAAAAGACAATTTGAGGTTAAATCTGGGAGTATAAATGCAACAAACAAGCAGCAGCAGTGACGCCTGGTTTGTTTTACAGATCCACACAGAACGAGCTCATACAGACTCACCCATGTTGGCGAGGAGGCACGTGACGGCCTGGACGTCGGCTCCGGCGTACACGTCGCTCAGCTGACTCACCACCGGCAGACACAGAGTGTGGACCCTGATTCGCCTTTTCCCTGCAGCGGCGAAACACAAATATTCAACAGCTCCGCCTGAATACGAGTAAAACCGAGGCGCTCTCTAGGAGCTGAAGCGTAACTCGGCTGAGTGAGAGATAAAAACTGAAGTCCAGTTGGTTGGAGACCTGTTTTTAACCGGGTCTTGTGTTCACCTTTACTGGACGTGTAGAGCAGGGCGGCCTGGAAGCAGGCCAGAGACGAGTCCGCCAGGGAGTCTTCGATGGACATCTGGACAGCGAAGGCAGAGTCCGGGTTCACATTAGCCAGGGACAGCAGGTCCGTGGAGCGCACGAAGAAGTTGCCGTGGAACGTATGGATGGACAATCCTGAAAAACACAAAGGAGGAACGTTCTAACGGAGCGGTGATGTGTGTGCACATGGGCTTAGCTGGCTCTGATCTCGACACCTTTGGTGCAGCGTATCCTCATGACCGCCTCGAAGCCGATCTTTCTGCTGAGGTAGCGCTCGAGGTCCTTCTGGAACTTCTCCAGCTGGGCCGGGTTGTGGATGTGATGAAAGGACGGGTAGTAGAAGACGCCTCCTGCCGAATACTTGGAGATGCAAGCTGAGGAGAATTTTTTCTTTTTAAATTTAAAACACAACTCCACCAACGTCTGACAAAACAACCACGGCGAGGAACGATTTTGAAAATCAAACCAGAACTCGGTTCACTAAAAATGTGCAGCGTTTGGTTTTACTCGTCTTGTTCACAAAGCAAATGATAAGATGCCGGCACAAACAGCTGTTAGGTTGAGCAGATGTGAGCTGTTGTCATCAGATCACAGAACAATTTAAATTCAGTCTTCTGTATAAAGCTGGCGCCCCCAACAGGACGCCTGGAGGAACACATCTCCAGGTTTACATGTCTGCCGTCTTCTTGAAGGCAGGTTGCTTCTGTTCCTATCAGTTCTGTCCCGAGATGTAATTACACCCAGCTCCAAGAGACTAAACGAGTCAAAGTCAAATTTATTTATAAAGCACATTTAAAACAGAAGCTGTTCCCAAAGTGCTTTACAATAAGGTCAAAAAGCATAAAAAATAAAAACAATGAAATAGTAAATCAAATCACACTGTGGTAAATGTCAGTGAAAACAGATGTTTTTAAAAGAGATTTAAAAACAGGAAGTGAGGTGGTCTGTCTAATGTTGCAGATTGTTCCAGAGTTCAGGGCCCACGACTGAAATAGCTCAATCTCCTCTGAGCTTCAACCAAAAGCAGCTGATCTGATGATCTCAGCACCCGAGAAGGAACATAAGGTTGAAGTAAGTCAGAGAGATATGAGGGTGGAAGGTCAACTTAAATGTCAACAGGACAATTTTAAAATCTATTCTGACACGTACAGGGAGCCAGTGAAGGGAGGACAAAACTGGTGAAACGTGCTCAAACCTACGAGTTCCTGTTAAGAGCTGAGCTGCAGCATTTTGGACGAGCTGGAGACGTGAAAGGGAGACCTGACCTCCAACATAAAGTGCGTTACAGTAGTCCAGCTGGGTTGTAACGAAGGCATGGACTATTTTTTCAAGGTCAAATCTGGTCAACACGAACTTAAGCTTTGCTATCTGCATTAACTGGAAGACGCTTTTCTGCAGAACAAAGTTTATTTATTAAACTTAAAGTCAGAGTTTAAAACCATCCCAGGATTTGTGTAGTGAACCTGATCTGAACCTGATCTGAACCTGATCTGACCTCAAATCTATCAGATGGACAGAGACTGTTATTTCATTGATCTGAATACAGTTTGAGCCATCTGATGACTTTCTTTCTTGAATTAATCAAGCAGAAAAGACAATTCTCTATAATCATTACTACTTTACAAATGTTTGATAATCAAATTGTGTTAGTTCACTCAATGTTTACAGGTTGAAAAGAACTACTCATTTTTATTTTACATAAACAGTAAGTAATGATTTTTATTCCTCATTCAAAGAAGAAATCAGGTTAATATGCATTTCTTGATTTTTCTGTCAGCAATGTAAGTATGTTAAAGGTCGGTTTTCGGTCAACTAAAATGTTTACCGAGAAAAATGTCATGTTTAATCTTTACAGAAGATACAGAAGAGTTTGACTCCACGAAGTCTGCTTTTCTGCAATAATCTCTCTGTCAGTTGTTGAACAATCTCATTCTCTGACCTCGACTTATGATAACATCTTACATCACAAACCACACCCTTTTTCTGGTCCATCGACCAATCAAAAAGCTCTCAAATGACCCGGAAGTCGACCCATTTAAAATGTGGCAACTTCCCAGTTCATGCAGAGGCGGAGGAGTTGCAAGAAGCTGAGACGCAGAGTCTGGGAGGGATAGAGTCCAAGAGTCTCAGAGTGATGGAGGTTCTGAAGAAGTTCTAGAGTCTGAGAGTTCTGAAGGCTGAAGGAGAAAACTCTGATGTCCGATGGAGAAAGTCTGATGTCTGAAGCCCAGAGTGCTTCCGTTGGAATACAGAATGCAGTGACGATGTTGGGATTATAATTTCTGTTTGAACACCACGCACGACTCTCGAAGGATTTCAGCTGCTCAACGGAGACGCTGAAAGAGTCTGAAGGATTCTATACCGAGCTGATTTCATCGTCAACCAGGTAACGATCTACTTCAACTGAGCGTACCGTCGCAAGCTGAGATCTGATGGAGCGTGCACGTTCTGGTCATAACAGATTAATTCCCTCACATATCTCTCTGTAAGATAAATCTCCATTCCATCTTAAACTCTGCTTTCTCCTAAAATCAGTACAGATATTTAGAAATATCTGAAGCTAAGTCCTCAATCACCGCCGTGTGATTGAAGCCCATTATTTTGTGAAACTTGTCTGTTATTATTTTCATATTTTGCCAAATTAATGTAAATGTTTGATGTTAAACTTTGATTCTGAAAATAAATGACCGCATTCATTTGATGGGTCAAAGATAATAACGTCTCTCGTTCGCATTTCTGTTAAAATTCAATGCACGACATTACACAGTCAGAAAGATGAGGAACTCGTGAAAAGTATGAATATATTTCCCTATATTGTCATACTACAGTTGGTGGCGTACGTACGTACGTTACTACTACACAGTTGTCATTAGGGGCTGGTAGACATTCTACCCATTTGGTAAACGCGCAGGTTACCGTGAGAAAATATTTATTTCCTCTAGAGGTCTTAGTGAGTGGTCCGACCCAGTCAATCTGGAGGTCCGACCATGGAAATGCAATGCCTCTACTATGCAGTGGTGCTCTGTGAAGTGGTCTGGATGGTTGAAACTGGCCACAAATCAGGCACCCTTTTATGTAGTCCTTGACATCCTTTTTCATTCCAGGCCAATAAGCAATTTGTTTTAATGCTTTCAGCGTGGCATTGTCACCTTTATGTCCTGCGGACGGAAGGTCATGTGCATGGACTAACATCACCCCCCTGTGGTCATGGGGGACCACGAACACAGGTGAGGACGTCCGTCCATGAGCGAAAGTTAGGATGCCCTTGAGTAGTTTTAGCTGTTTGCGCAGCTGAAAGAGGACTTTGAGGTCTGGATTGGAATCCAGCTCGTCTTTCGATGGAGTGTATTTGTCTGGGTCAGTCAGATACAACATCATCGAGTTAATTGCAGGATCCAACTTCTGAAGTTGGATGATGTCTGGGTCAGTCAGCATCGGGCGCACAGAAACTGTGTTATCAGCAGGTTTAGCTGCAGCTTGTGCGCGTGTGACTGCCATTACCTCAGTTGTAGCTTGTGACGACTGAGTGTTGAGTAGCCAGGAGGGGTCGAAGGACCACGTGGGTCCGTCAACGGCTCCTTCTTTGGCTAGGAGTCGAGGTTTACGGGATCAGAGACAGCGGTACAGCTACGGCTAAACACAATAACTTAAGTCTTCTGATCGTTGAAACCTAAAAAGGTTGAAGCCATCCATGCTTTGATGTCATCGATACATTTTAACAGAGGGTGAACGGAGTTGGGATTTAAGGGCAGATAAATCAAGACAATCATCATCATAACAATGAAATGAAAGACCAGGTTTCCTCAGGTAGACCCCAGGGAGCAGGTAAAGTGAAAACAGAAGGGGTCCAAGAATTGAGCCCTGTAGAACCCTGCAGGAAAGAGGCACTGATGCAGATTAACTATTTTCAACCTTAACACAAAGTCTTGTCACACAGGTACAAACGGAACCACTCTAATGCTGCACCTGTGATCCTAACCCAGTGTCCTAACCTTGACAGTGGTCAACAGCATCAAAAGCAGCGGTAAGGTCCACGAGTACAAGTATCACAAACTGACCAGAATCATTTGCTGACAGAATTTCATCACAAACCCTGACCAAAGCTGTTTCAGTGCTGTGTAACTGTTTAAAACCAGACTGAAACATTTCATCTTCATCCTTCAGGCTTCACAGATTTTAACGTGTCACACTCGGGTCTTTGAGAAACCATTGAAAGGACGGAGACAGAACTTGTTCTTACCGAGTGAAGCAAGGTCGGCGTACTGCGAGCTGAGAAGGAAGAGATCCACTCCGATCTGCTGACCTGAGCAGTCCAGAGCAAGTTTCTTGTAAAAATCTGTGGCAGGACCGAGGTGCTGCACTCCCTAAAAATAACATATTAATGACAAGAAGGTGAATTCTTGAGCTTTTTTTTTTGGGGACAAACACAAATATGACAAATAAAATAAATCAGTTCTGGGATAAAAGCATCGTGTTCAGTGAAGAACACAGGGCTGTACATAAAGATCGCACAAAATGTAAGAAACTTTTACAGCGTGGTTGATTATTTCTTTGATGCAACAATGGCCATCCTGGATTCTGACCTGGCAACGCAGATTTTGAAAATAACCTTTCTTACTTCTACATGCAGCAACACGCCAAAATGGAAGTCGGCTCCTCGCTTATTTTTGAAGTCACCGCTCTCACAACATTCACGTACTGTACTTCCCATCCCCCCGGTCTTAATCCACAACGGGGGACAATACACAGAATAAGATTCACTGCCAAGAAGCGTTGTTACAACAAAGAAGTAATCAATCAAACTTTATTTAGGCCTAAAAAAACGACATTTAGAGTTCGCGTTCTACCAGAAAACAATAAACGGAGTTCAGAGCAAACACGAACTGTGATGAAGTAAATTATAATGTGAACCTTGGTGCTCGAGCGCTGGTTTGGGTCTTCCCTCGACTGCAACTTCCCGGCGCCCAGCGTCGGCAGCTGCGTCTGGAAAACCGTGACGCGGCCGCCGGTGGGCGCCATGAGCTTGAAGGCCGCCTGCAAGGCCGGACCCAGGGCGCTGTGCGTCTCTGTGCTCTGACTGAACATGGCCGGCAGCGACGTCAGCAGCTCTTTCACCAGCTGGAAGAGAAACGTTTGCATTACACCAGCTCTGCTGAGCATCTCGGGTGTCGGCTGGCGTTTCCTTTTCTGCCATGCAAGGTAAGATTTACGACGAAGGAGAAGGAAGAAGTACCTCCTGACTCTCCTTTAGGTTCACCATCAAACTGTCATGAGACGGTATGAAGACATCTGCGAAGAAAGAAACGTGACGTTAAAACCAAACCAGAGGCTTTCCATCATTTCACCCTTCCTGGAACACCTTCTTCTTCTTCTTCTTAAGGAATTTAACTGGTTGTAATTAAACTTTCTTCAAGCCTCATGGCACAATTTACAATCCAGGATGGAGTCCTTCATCTTCCTGTTCATCATCCATATTCAAGCGACCGTTGATTCAGTTCACTTTGTTGATGTTTATTGGATTTTTCTTTAAATATTCCACTTCAGCAGACTCATTTAGCTGTCTGAAGAAGCAATGATCTCAGCTGCGATTGTTGTCTGATTCATGTGGTTCTCAAACTGGGGTCCCAGGGCCCCCGGGGGGGGTCCGCACAATGAATTACAAGTTATTACTTATAAGTTTATCATTTAACAAAGTGTATAAATACATATGGGGACCAATGTGCCAGGAAAACCAACATACTTAACCACAAAACAAAAAACAAACATACATTTCCATAACATTTAGGGGTTAAAATGGCAGGAAATTAAAATATATATATATTTAAATTTAATATTTTGGGCAGGAAAGACCCAAAAAGTTTGAGAACGCCTTGCTGACATTATGGGAATAAGTATTGTGTTCTTATGTGGACTTTAGTAAACTTGACTACATTATATCATATTATTATTATTATACATTATTGATGTTATTATTCAGGTCTCTCTTGTAAATGAGTCTTTGAGGCTCAATGGGATTAACCTGTATAAATAAAGGTTGAATGAATGAATATATAATAATAATAAAAAAGTGGAATGGGTGTTGAAATTCTGTATATATTGTTTTAAATAAGCTGCTTTTTGTGAGAAATTCCAACCCGTCATTAAAGAGAAGTTCAGATATCTGACGGGAAACAAGCAGAATAATTTACTGCCAGGTTAAAAAAACTAAAAATTATTCATCTACGCTGTCATAAAAAGCAGAAAGTTCTGTTCCTGAGTGACCAAACGTACCGTCGATGTCCGACACCACCAGCATCTGAGGCTGCGATAATCCCTCCTGCAGGTTGTAGAAGTGGATGGTGCTGTCAAAGGTGAGAAAACCCACCCTGGTGCGCGAATCCCCGGGGATCCTGAAAGGCACGACGCCGTCCGTCAGAACCCCAGTGAAGGAACCGGGACTCCGGTTCTTTTGGTTAATTTATTGGTGGCACAAAGACATCACATCACAACTCACTTGTCCAGATTCTCAAGCAGAGAGTCGCAGAAGAACTTCAGGTATCCTGCTTCCACGGCGTTGTGGGAAACATCGAGCACGAACAGGTAAACCGCCGGCTGCGGCGGTCGCAGCTGGAGAAGCAAAACAAACCGTAAAAAAAGCCAAATGTTCAGATCGTCTTAAGCTGCAGGAACAGCTCCATCTAGAGGACAAACACTCTCACTGCAATACAAGGGACGTGGAGGGTTTTACCATGTAGTCTGAGGAGGCGATGAACTCTACGGTGGAGTTTTGGACCTCCGGCCTCTTGTGCGGTTCCCCGTAAGACCTCGTTACTGGATTGTACATGAACTCATCTGGCACTAAAGAAAAGACAAAGCTGTGGAACGCGCCAGACTTCACTGGAAACGAAAAACGAGAATTTAAAAGCGTAAAGTACGTGGAATACCGTCGTTGACCCGGTAGCAGAGGTTGCACTTCCACCTGCGCTGGTCCAAAAACGTGACGAACGGATTGATGTAGGTTCGACAGGAGCGACAGCGCACTATCGTGTTGGAGGTGATGACCGGTAGCTGCTGCAGAGACGAGGACAGAGAGGAGTTAACGATGTGAGGAAACTTTGACACAAAACATTTGCTTCTTTTTGACTTTTCTACGAAACGCTCCTCTCTATGCTGCAGACTGAAGACGTCTTTATTCCCCGTCTAAAGGAATGTGGCTGAACGACAACTTTGACCTAAATGTCAGCTTTTCTTTCCACTTCCTGTCGAGGAAGAGCCTCAGCTGGTTTGACCCGGTCAACTCAGAGTTTAGAAGAAGCAGCCGTTATATTTTTAGGACAAACTTTGACCAGGATGCACTTTGCTCTTCTGGCAGCTTATCTGAAACTTACAGCTAAGATTAAACACAAACATCAAGAAGTTTTCATTCAGACCACCTTCAGAGGTGATCTGGACCGCTTGTATCCCAATAAGGTCTTAACGATGCAGGACCTCCTACTGAACTGACGAGTTAAAAGTTACAAGTTTTAATCAGAATCCTTCTTAATGAAAATGTCGTTTGTCAGGATTTTTTTAAACAGAGTGGATTATCCAGACGGTGCTGTGGGCTTCTTTGGTTCAGTGCTTGTTCTGAGTTCCTGGACCCTCTGTGGTCCCTGTAAGCTGTAACGTGCCGTCAGAGTCTGAGCGGCGTGACGTCGCCTCATTCACCCAATTAAACACAGCTGTCAGTGCACCGTTTTAATTTAATTCAGTTCGGTTTATTTATATACAGCCAAGTCGCAACAGAAGTCGTCTCAGGGCACTGAGATAAAAATAACAATTTAACATTATTTATCTGAGGAGCAGACCGCTTTGAGTTTAACTCCATCACAGCTTGAGCGAGCATGAAGGCGACTGTGGAAAGAAAAAACTCCCTCATGAGGAAGAAACCTTTAGCAGAACCAGGCTCAGGACAAGTGGTCATCTGCTTCAAGTTGAGAGGAACAGATACACAATGGCAGGTCAAGAATCACATGTTGAGATAGTATCAAATGAAAACTATTAAATTTTAACAATTAATTTAAGGACATGAGGTCAATTTGTCCTCTAGTGGTCTAAGCTTAAGGCAGCATAACAAACCAACCCTAACTATAGGATTTATCAAAGAGGAAAGTCTTCAAACTGGACCATGTGTCAGCCTCACGGACAGAAACTGGAAGTTGGTTCCACAAGAGAGGAGCCTGATAACCCATTCTGCTTTTGGAAACTCTAGGAACCACAAGTAAACCTGCAGTCTGAGAGCAAAGTGCTCCGTTAGGAAAATATGGAACAATAAGATCTGTTTTCTTTCATTTTAATGCAGTGGACCTCTAAAGGTCAGCACAGCCAGGGACCCTTCCTCGCCTGCCATGGTGGACCCATGTGGATTTGGCATCCTGTCTCTTTTTCAGGTTTGGCCCAAGTGGGCACCAGGAGCCAAGGCTCGACCCCCAGACCTGGCTCCAGGGAGATGCACCGGTTTACCTTTTTTTTCCCTGATGCGACCGACGTTTCTTCACCAAGGTTTTCTACTTTCAAGGTGTTCAAGTATCTGGGCGTCTTCTTCACGAGTGATGGATCGAGGCCTCGCACTCAGTAATGAGGACGTTGCTTCGATCGGTCGTGGTGAAGAGCGAGTTGAGTCGAAAGGCAAAGTTATGGATTTATCGGCCCGTCTATGTTCCGACCCTCACCTGTGGTCATGAGGTTTGGATCATTGTAGGACGGCTGGGCTCAGATGTCAGTTGAGGTGGTTCATCTGATTAGGACACCCCTCTCTTTGGAGATTTTCCAGGCACACCCCACTGGAAAGAATCCTCAGGACAAACCCAGAACTCTGGAGGGATTATATATATCCTCTTTGAAATGCTTTGTTTTTGTTCTAATGGCGGTACTCCAGTGCTGGAACAAAACCAGATTAGAGTTTCCATGGGGCCACCCTTCAGGCTGATATGTGATAACCTCCCGGCGCTCAGTCCAAACCGCCCGACATCAACTCGTCAAACATCTCTATAAATACGCTCGTTAGATCCTACCTGCAGGTCTCTGAAGGGGTGGAGGAGGAGCCCCAGAGGGAGTCTGGCCTTGTTGAGTAAAGCCTGGGTTTGTGGAATGCTGGTCAGGGTGCACCTGAAGGTTCTGGTCCACAGAGAACAATAGGAACAGAAACCTCAGATTAGATTCAAATGAAAGAAAGAGCAGCGACCAGGCAGCGTGTGCGGTGAGGCTTTTTAAACTACGACCTACTGTGGACTGCAGTTGACCTTCTTCAGGTCGGCGCCGACGTTGGGTTCAGGGGCCTCCAAGGGCCTCGGGGGCAGCAGGTTCCTCTCCTGCAGCAGGTTGACCGGCCTCAGGGCCTCCACCTCCAGCTCCGGTACCCCACTCAGCCCCCCCAGGGCTGCAGACAGCTGCGAAAGGCTGGGGAACGGCTGCGGAGAGGGAATAGGTGCTTTGAACCAGAGGGTGAAAACTTTCAGCTCCACGTAGAGCGAGGAGATTATTTCACAAATTATTTTCTTCTAAACATCCAGATCGATACGAGCCGAACGCATACCGAGACCTCGTCATAAAATGTTCAAACCTTCAAAGATACAATTTAAAATAAAAAGGGTTAGAAATAAAGTTTGTTGTATTTTAGCTGCAGAGTTGTTTCAATGCTAAAACTGAGCTAACACAGAGGTGTCAAAGCTAAAAGAAGCAGACCACTAACTAACAGCTAAAAAAATAAAAACTCTAGCCAAAAGACAAGAACAGCAAAACTGTAGCTAGGAGTTAAAAGTATTAAAAGCTATCTATTCTTTTACAACAGCAAAAGGCTAGCCAAAAGCTAAATAAAAAAAGCAAAAGGCCAACTGTAAGCTAAGTAGCAGAACAGTAGCTAAAGCTACAAGTGGCAAAATGGTAGCTATAAGCCAAAGACAGCAAAAATTGAGCTACAAGTAACAACCTAGTTAGAGAATAACAGTAACAAAAGGCTGGCAAAAGGCTAACTAAAAGTAGTAAAAAAGCTAGTTAAAGACTAAAAAAGCAAAAGGTTAACTGAAAGCTTAGTATTAGAATGGTCGCTAACAGCAAAAAGCAGCAAAATGGTAGCAGGAAGCTAATGATAGTGAAAGTGTAGCTAAAAAAATTAAAGTATCAAAATGCTAGCTAGAACATTTTAGTATCAAAAACTTTGCCAAAAGCAAAAAATAGCAAAAGGCTAAACGAGAGCTAAGTGACAGAACAGCAGCTAAATCAAAAACAGAGCAGTAGCTAGAAGCCAAAAGAAGCAAAAGGCTAGTTAAAAGTAGCAAAAGACTAGCTAGAATATAACAGTAGCAAAAGGCTGGTTACAAGTAGCAAAAGGCCAGTTTAAAGTAGCAAAAGGCTAGTTAAAAATAGCAAAAGGTTAGCTAGAAAATAACAGTAGCAAAAGGCTAGTTAAAAGTAGCAAAAGGCTAGTTAAAAATAGCAAAAGGCTAATTAAAAGTAGCAAAAGGCTAGTTAAAAGTAGCAAAAGGCTAGTTAAAAGTAGCAAAAGGCTAGTTAAAAATAGCAAAAGGCTAGTTAAAAGTAGCAAAAGGCCAGTTAAAAATAGCAAAAGATTAGCTAGAAAATAACAGTAGCAAAAGGTTAGTTAAAAGTAGCAAAAGGCTAGTTAAAAGTAGCAAAAGGCTAGTTAAAAGTAGCGTAAAAAGACAAAAACGTAAAGTTTGTTGAAGCAGATTTTAAAGAGTAAAATATTTTAGAGGGAACTGAAATGATTTCAATGTATTTTAATAAAGAAAATATTTATAAAAGAAGTTACCGGTAATTTATTGAAAAGTATAAAAGTTACAAAAACCACCAGTTACAGGACCCATTTTCTGAATGAGCCGAAGGTTTTGACATATAAATAAATAAAATAGCACAAAGCCTGCAGAAATATTTAATTACAAAAACACGTACAGAAAAATAAAAATCAGGAAACAACTCCGTGCAGTTCAATAAAACGTTAGACGCGGTCTCACCTGGGAGTACTGCTGGTAGCCCGACTGGCTGTAAAGGTTCTGAGCTGGAGGGGGGTCGGCGTGTTGGGTCGGGCCCTGCTGATAGGCTGGCGGTATGCTTTGGTAACCATAGCTACCGTAAGGTTGGGCCTGGTTGGACATATCATTGGAAGGAGGCATGGAATCTGTAAAAATAAACATTTGAGGCACTTTTCTTCAAAAGCCCAGAAACGTTTTCGTGCATTAAGGTGACGGTGAAGATGTGCAGTCCGCTCAGTAACAGGACACCGTCCCAACCTCGTCTGTTTAACATCTAAAGGCTGCAAAAATAAACAGATGTGCTCAGACAGAGGATCCTTTTCATGATCTCCAGTGCTCTGGTTTGCAGCTTTAACACGAGTTAACCAAAGCACTGAAAGTTATGGAGTTCTTTAATTCTCTGGGGTTAAATGGTCCATTTCTGGCAGATTATCAGGGTCAGACTGCAGGTGAACGGTCCGACGCCGCCTCGCATGTAAAGATGTTAGTAAAGAACAGTTTGGTCAAAAAAATGTTTTCTGGACATGTGCACACGGTGTTTTACTGCGAAATGTTTCCGGAGTTGTGCTCGTGAAGAAGACTTACCTGGAAAGCTGCCACCTTCCAGGGAATCGTAGTTGTCTGGAACCGGAGAGGCGCTGCCGGTACTGGAGGACGAGGTGTCGCCGCCTGAGAGCGAGCGGGAGACACGCAGGAAAAATAAAAAGTTAAACACGAGGGCTGCCTGAGAGGACGAAGCATGACGCTAATGAGGAAAACATGGAGGACAAAGACAAACATGTAAGAGCTCACGATCGTCAGAGAATAAAACTTCCATCTTCAGATTCCTGTTTAAACTTTACATTTTCATAAATAACTGGAAAAACTAAGCATGCATTGACAGTTCGGTCAGACCCCGGACTTATTATTTCAGACGTTTAGATCCTTTCCCCCCGAAAAACACAGTTTGAACATTTACTTGTAAACTATTTAAAATATTTATAACTTCTACACATTACCAGCTGATCGTTCACTGCCGCAGCTGGTTTTGAATGTGGGAGTCGTTGAGCTCATCTCAAAGGGAAACAGCCGCTCCGCGCTGGTTTATAACAGAAGAGTCAATATTGAACGTTTCTGAATTATTGTGACGTTTGAAAACATCCCAGAACATGAGAAGTCAACTATAAAAACTACAACAAAAAGGTAAAATAAACATTTCTTACAGATTTTGAATAATGAGCAATAAAAATAAAGTTTCAAAGCTTTTATTTTTGTAAATAAAAACAGTTTTATGGGTGTTTAAATTAGAATGCGGCTGATATATCAGTAGGGGCCGATATAGGAGTTTGGGGACATATCGTATCGATGATAATTGGTCCATATGCGCTGATATAAACACGGGAACAAGCCGTGTCCTTACTTGCAAAAGGCGTGATTGTACAATGTATCCAGCAGAGGGCGCATGAAGACCACTTTCAAGTCACTGCCGTTCCTTTAAGTTTCACTTTCAGCACAGACGAAGCAGTGAGCAATTTTGCTGAACAGAGCTGGGTAATTTTATTTTTAACTGATCTGTAAATTAATAAAAAAACAACATTAAAAAATTCTCTTCAATCCTCCAACCCGCTTGTCGTTAGCTACATGCCTCTCAGTTAGCAAGCTAACGTTTTGCATACGTTATTGCCTTGTAAATCTTTAACCAGAACAATAAATCTAACGTACCGTTAAATAGATCAGTGTTAGTAACATTATCTTTGTCATCCTCAATAAAATGCATTGTCTGAAATCTTTACTTCGATACAAAAAAATAAAAAATAAAAAAACTCCGATGCTGCAATCAATACTAATCAGACCATCATACGTGACCGACTGTTTAAACAACGAACAGGGAAGGGTGTTTCTTTGTTTACTTTATATTTTTCTAACACACTTGATAACTTTATGGTGAATAATGGAGGACAGAAGATGTTAGGAAGACTGTTCCAAGACTTAAGTGTTAAAACAGGTTTAAAAGTAGCCGTTTACTTAGATTCGTGGGGCTGGACAAAGAATTTTCAGCCATTATATCGTTATCGGCAGCCGCCTTCCTCTCACAGCATCGGTATTGGCAATAGCAAAAAAATTCCCTATAGGTCGAGTTCTAGTTTACATGTAATTAAGAGCTTGACATGATGCTTGTAACGTAATAGCAACTATTCCCATTTAACTCGTACCACTGTTGCATTTTATCCCGCTTCCCCACTCTGATTTCATACCAGTGTCCAGTTAACTGCAGAGAAAACGCTCAAAAATATTCTCAACATGAAGCTGTTAATCCAAGCGGGTCAAAGGGAAGGATGTAGAACAACAAGCCAACATGTAGCAGAGATCCGATTGGGCCGAACTCGATCCAATTACCTCAGACTAAATCTGAGCAGCAGACTGATGGATTACAGACTAGAAGAGGAAGAAAACCAGGACAGCCTGCTCATTTCTTCAACTCTGTCATTGATGAACACGATTTCGTCAAAAACAAAACATTTTTACATCTAAAATTGTTTTAGATCACTTGGTTTGCCCTTAATCTGGTTCCATCTCAGATTAAGTTGAAAGTCACAACTCCATTCAGACAATCTGAGGTGACACTAATCTGATTACCAACAGCCACTGAGGAAGACAGAGTCCGAGCTGAATGCTGCAACGTGTACGTGAATCAAAAACCGACTAACCAGCAGGACGGTTCCTAAAGAAGCACCTCAGCGGGTCTTTACTTAATAAAAGTTAGTCTGTACTAGAACCCGACTGATATGTACATTTTGGCTATCACCAATACCGATACTGGGAGGGAAAGGCGAATGTCAATAACCGATAAATTGGCTGAAAATTCTTGAGCTTTGTCCACCCCCAAGAATAAACAGTAACCTGTTTTAACACTTGAAGTCTTGAAACAGTCTTCTTAACGTCCGTTCACATTTTCTGTCCACTATCCACCATGAAGTTATCAAGTGTGTTATAAAAATATGAATTAAACAAAGAAACTCCCTTCCCCGTTCATTTTTTTAAACAGTCTGTCCCGTACGTTGAAGGTCCAATCAGCATTGATCACAGCAGCAGAGTTTGTTTTTTCTTTGTAGAGAAGTGAAGATTTCAGACAAACAATGCATTTTATTGAGGACAACAAAGATAATGTTGCCAACGCTGATGCACTGAACTCCCTCTCGGTTTTCAAATCCCGTTTAAAAATCTATTCCGTAGCTTTCAACACCAGATTATGTGTTTTGAACCTGTATGCTCCTCACAGGTTTGTCGTCATATTTATTATCTGCGACGTTTTTATGTCTATATTCTGATTTAACTTCATTTTGTATTTTGCTTTGTGTGTTGCCTGTTTTCTGTCTGCACAGCACTTTGGCTGGCCTTGTTGCTGTTTTAAGTGCTCTATAAATAAAATGGTATGGCATATTTTACCTCTACATTAGATTCTGCCATCATCATCTGCTGGATATATTGTACAATTATAGTAGTCGTTCGTTTATCACGGGGGGATACGTACCCTGATGACCTGCGATAAGTGAAAAACTGCCAAGTAGGAATAGTAGTACAAGTAGTAGTTTATTTTTTTCTTTAAAACCCTTCCCACACTCTTGCAATATTCTAAACAATGTTTCTAAACTCTTGGCCACGCCCACTTCTATGCTCTGCACGAGAACAGCTGATCAGCTGCAGCAGGAAGTTTATCTTGCAGTGTGAGCTGCACAAATGTGCAGCAGGTGCTAAATAATTCAAAACAATTAATTAAATTTTTTTTAAACATCTTCTGAGGACCACGAAAGGCTGTAAAATAAGAGATACACGTAAAAGACAGGTGAAGGATTATTTTACAACTAGTTGGGTTAATTAGTTACAGGTCATTAAGAGGAGTGAGGATAAAAAGAGCATTTTAGAAGTAAAGATGGGCAGAGGTCCACCAGTCTGTGAAAAACTGTCCAAAAATAGAAGAATAGTTTCAGAATAAAGTTCATCAGTGAAAGACTTTGAATCTCCATAATCTCAAATTCATAATCTCAGAGATGGGCACGGTTCTGCTGATCCGCTAACTTTTTGGTTAGCTGTGCCCCGCACTGTATAATCTCATCGCCAGATTAGAAGATTCTGTAGAAATCTGAGCTCAAAGGACGAGGCTGAACGTAAATATTGGATGATCATCTTCGGGTCCCCGGCATTAAAACCAGTTCTGGTTCCGTTCTGGGCTCAGAAACACTTCCACCAGATCATTATCTGTAAAGACAGCTCATCCATCATGTTTTTTCACTACGTTTCTTTCTCCTTTTAATTATAATTTTGTTTTCAATTGTAAAAAACAATAAATAAATTTGTATGAATCTTTAATGATTGTCTATTGTTGTCGTCACTCTTTGTTAAAATCCAGGCCTCTCTTGTAAATGCGTCCTCGTGGCTCAATGGGACTGACCGGTTTAAATAAAGGTTGAATTAATCCACAGGTGCTGCTTAAAGCTCTATCAGGCAAACAAGAATCCAGATGTGAACATCGTCCAGAACCGCTGCCGTCTTCTCTGGATCAGAGCTCGTTTAAAATGGACTGAAATGAAGTCCAGAACTGAAACCACGACGCACCATCCTCCGTACTGAAGAGGAGGGGGACCACCCAGACTGTTAGCAGCTCACAGTTCAGAAGCCTGCCTCTCTGATGGTGTGAGGGTGCATTAGTGCCTCTGGCATTGCCCATTTTACCGTTTCTAATACGTAAAATAGGCCAGCACACGCGTCAACGGTATCATCCCTAACATTGTACAAGCAGGGCGCCCCGTCAACAGAACTACAGCGTTTGTGTTTTTTGTTTAATAAACATTGAAAAAACACGTTTCCAGAGGTTGTTCTCATGGAAACGGGGCCTTATAGGGTAGACCACTTTGATTTGGTTATTTTAAAAGGAGCTCCATCATCTTCATCGATTTAATTTATAAAGCGCTTTAACACCAGCCACAGCTGAAACAATGTGCTGAACATCACTCCATGCTGAAAGAGTGGCCACACCAGCTACAGACGGAGTGTACGAACCAGAAGCAGTCATGAAACCATCTAGGCTGCAAAGCATCACAGAATACAGACGTTGAGCGGAACTGTAATAAAGGTCAACATCTGGAAAGGCTCCATCAGTGTACGAGTTTTAAAACATCTGCTCCCATCCAGCAAAGAAGACCAGGACTGTTGAGTCCTCCATCAGACCAGAATGAACTCCAGCACCCGGTCTTCTCTGGTCCTGGTTTTAAGACTGTTAAAATAAGCGAGGGCGCTTCACAGAAGGAAACAAAGAAAAACTTTTAGACGTGTCGCTGCCATAAAATTTTAAACGGTCTCGTTTCTCCCTCAAAAAAAAACAAAAAACGCACAGTTTCTCCATTTCAGCAGCTGATGGGTTTACCGCGCCCCGTTGTCGTTATGAAATTAGCAAATTATGGCGTTCTGTTTTTATTTACATTTCTAACAACCTACCGACTTTTTCTGAACCGGCGCGGTAACGCTGAAGCAGCTCGTGCTGCGAGAGTCGGAGCACCACCGGAGAGAGACGCCGAGCCCACGAGAGACGAACTGAAAACTAAAACAAGCCGTCTGCTGGGAGACGTGACGAAGACTGTTAGAAGAGCTCGGCGTGGTCTCCTGCGACCGGTCGGCAAACACCTGTCGACAGGGGAGCGGCTATTTTTACCACCTGCTAACCTGTGGCTGATGAAGAAACGCTCCTCGGGGACCGTCACGAGCAGAACGTGCTTTGAATGCAAAGCAGCTAGTTTGTCTACGCGAGCCGTAAAAGACGGTGTTTGATTTTGGATGTTGTTTCTGGTCTGTCTGATTTTAATTTAAGCAAAGAAGAGTCAAAAACAAACGTGTGATTAATTTAAATTATTGAGGGGGAAAGGGAATATTTTTTGTTTCTTGTTGCCATTTCAGCTTTAATAAAGAAAAACACATTAAACAAGTGGAAGACGAGCAACTGAGGCCTAAAAATCACTGAATAACTAAACTTTTCCATTAGTCTGATGTTTGAACAACAATGCAAATACAGGACATTATGTAAAACTGTGTTACGTACAACAATAGATGATCATTTGCATTTTAAAACAACAATGTTGCACTAAAGCAGAAACGGTGCGCTTCTATTCTTCCCAAGGCATCGAGAGCGTCCAAAGCTAGAAGTTAAGAAAAAATAAAGTTTTAGACCATATAATCTTGTTTATTCATTTATTTGTTTTAAGTGTTATAGTGCCATATTTGAGTTCATCTGCGTTGCTTTAATCAACACAAGTTGTTTTTAAATGCGTTGTAAAATAAACTTTTATAATTTGTTGTCAGATTGGTTTTTTGTTATTTTTAGAAAAACATCTGAATTCAAATAAAGATGCATTTATTCATTTTAAAATAAACTTGTACGCGTTTTGCTTATTTAATGCTTTTCTTTCCCGTTTTATTGTTTCCATCTTATGTGAAGCACTTTCTTATATAAAAGGTGGTTCATAAATAAAAGTTTGCTTGATTTTTATGTAAACTAAATAAACATCCTGCTAAATAAAACTCAGGACTGAAGCTTGGCTTTCATTTCCACCGATCTGTCAGCAGGGTGGACAAATAAACAATTCATTCATTTATTATTTTTGTGTGTAGATGTTTTTTTTCTTTTAAGCCCAACCTTCATCGATAACATCTTGTGCACCACTGGAAGAAGCTTTGAGGCACCAAATGCTAATCTACCTCCATTAACTGTTTCCAAGAGGGAACCAAAGAACTTCGATGCGTTTGGAGCTGCAATTAATTTGGAGGCGGTCAGATCAAGGTGGAGAACTCTGACGAGATTATTTAAAAGGAAGTTGCACAGATGAAGAGAAATAAACGGATCAGGTGCACGATGAGCAGAAGTCCTGATGCATGCTCAGTAATCCAGGTGGATTAATCTAACGAGGTGGAGTCAGGTCCTCTGGACGGGGTCTTCTTTGTTGAAACAAGAGCTGAGTGATGCAATATCTCTTACAATGCTCCTATTGCATCACTCAGCCCTCTGTGAATAGCAAGCGGCCATCAGGGCACTAACAATCCATTGTTAGGTTGATGGTTCCCCATGTGAATAGTTCTGGATGTCATCAGCAAACTGTTTGATCCACTACAGGAAGGTGCTGCTTATAAGACTGAGTTTGTTGCAGCTCCTCAGACTCAAGAAGTCTTTTGGATAAAAGACGAAACGTTTCAACAAGAAGAATCCGTCTAGAGGACCCGACTCTTGTTAGATGAGCAGAAGTGACCGACAGCGGAGCAGAGGAGGCGGTGAAGACACGTTTAGGGGTTCAGAACATCGAGATGAGTTTATGAGGGGACAAAGTGGTAACAAGATGGACAGAGTGAGATAAAGCTAAAGCAGACCTGCTTCCTCATCCTCATCCTCCTCCTCATCATCCTCATCAGAGCTGGATGAAGAGAGGGCTCCCGCTGGGCCCGAGGCGGCGCCGGAGGCTGAGCTAGCCCCACTTTTAGCAACATATCCGTACGTCCGGCCTGTTGGAAGGGGGAGCGGCAGAGGTTCATCAGAAAACAGAGATCAGGTGGACGTCTTTGTCCACCAGAGGAAATCACATCAAATCACCTAAAAACGTCTTGCGGTCGTGTCATTTGTGACGTCTCGGTGAACACTTTTACCCATAAAACGCTACAAATACCAGCAAAATGCACAAATCTGTGCATCTTAAATAACAGATTCAAGTATTTACTTTTTTAAGCGATCAAGATTTCTTTATCACGTGCAGTTCTCCTTTAAAAAGCCCATTCCAAACAAGAATAAACTCTCAAAGTCGCCTTTCAAACAAGCAAAAGTTTACAGAGTACATTTGAAAAGTAAAACAAAAAATCTATTTAGTATTATTTTGTGTGTAGCGCACCACAAATATCTCTAGGTGTAGATTAAATGCGACTCAGGCGTGTTTTTGCCTGAAAAGACTTGCCGACTGTCGTTCAGGTTTACTAAATAAAACTAAAATTTATCTCAAGGGTTCGGTGCCAACATCAACAACTGTTGCAACCAGCCGAAGAATCCCAGCTAAAACTGATCTAGAGGCTTATTTGAAGACAACAGAAACATGTGATGCTCTTCGGAGGCAGATACAACTATTTCTGACTAAAGAAAGTGAAAATGGATCGGAAGCGTTCGTGTGTTAACCGAACGAGCTGTAGACCGTTTCAGGAGCGTAGAGAGTCGTTAACTGGAATAGAGAAACATCTGGCACACGGACAAGAATAAACGTTCTGATCCTGAAACCTTGAAATCTGCACCAAACGTTGCACACCTGCACATTTGCAAACGTTTTGTGTGCACGGCAGATGACGTGTGCTAAATTTCCAGAGCGCAGCTGTGAGCACGGGAAGCGCCCGCACACACTGCCGGTCTCCGACTGATCGTGAAATTTGTTACAGGGTTGAACTAAAACAGCCGAAACGAAACCCTTTAATGTCTCATTCTCTCTGTGATCACCTCCTTTTTGAACAAAAAACACGTCAGGTGAAAAAAAAAAAAAAAGAACAAAACCAGAAACATTCTCCCTAAAACTGTAACAAACTCGTGTGAGTGAAAATATCTGTTACCTGGGGCTGGGTGGTGCCCCGGGGACGAGTGGGCTGAAGCGGAGGGCGTTTCTGAGGACGGTCGGTCTGCACCTCCGCTGTAGGAGCCGAAGCCCTGAGGAGCTGCGTGGCTTTGGTCGTAGTGTCGGCTGTTGGTCTGGACCGCAGCTGATCACAGAAAAGTATAAAAATCTGATTTGAGAGAAGATGTGGGTTTAACTTCAGAGGAAACTCAGATCAGGACACTCCAAACAGCAGCTGGAGGTACGGTCAAAGATGGCAGCTTCACGCCCGAACGCATCAAGACCGTTGATTTATTGTTGTACTTTCTGCTCAGTGATGAAGCTGAAACTGAGTTGTTACAGCCAAAAGAAGCAAAACACTAGCTGAAAGCTGCAAAAGATTAGCTGGAGAAAACAAAAGGCTACCTAATAGTCAAAATAGCAAAACAATAAAAGTATCAAAAGGCTAGCTAAAAGCTGCAAAAGATTAGCTAAAGCAGAAAAAAAGCTAAACTAAGGAAACAAATAGCTCGAAGTAGCAAAAGTTTAGCTGAAAATAGCAAAAGGCTGATTAATATTTAAATGCATCAACACGCTAGCTAAAAGTTTTGAAACACTAGCTCAAAGTATCAAAACACTACCTAAAAAGTAGCAAAAGATTAGCTGAAAGTAGCAGAAGGCTAATATCTAAAACTATCAGCACACTAGCTAAAAGTTTTGAAACACTAGCTTAAAGTATAAAAACACTAGTTCAAGAGTGAAAAACAAGTTAAGAGCAGCAAAAGATTAGCAGAAAGAAGCAAAAATCTAAGTGTTATAATAGCAAAGGGCTAAAAGCGAATGACAGCTAAAAATATCAAAATGCTAGTTAAAAGCAGTCAGATTAGCTAAAAGCAACAATAGATTAGCTGAAAGTAGCAAAAGGCAAAGAGCAAAAGGCCTAAATATCAAAATGACAGTATATAGTATCAAAAGGCTAACAACAAGCAGCAAATATTTGAAAGGGTAGCTAAAAGCTAAATTAGCAAAAGACTAGTTATAAGTTCAAAGTAGCAGAACGGAAGTTTAAAGCTACAAATGGAAAAGGCGAAAACAGATCGAGTAGCTGAAGCAGATTTCACAGAGAACTTTTTAAATTTTTTTTATTTAAACAATCTCGATATATTTCTGTGGGAAAAACATTTTAAAATAAAGTTAAATTATTTGAAAGGTCTAAAAACTTACAAAGCCCTAAAAACAAAGAACAAACAAATGTGAAAAATAATTAAGACATTTTTGCAGAAGGCACAAACAACAAAACAAGAAAAAGAAACACATTTAACAACCCATGACGTCCGCAGAAACCCGTTCTGCTGCTCAGGTGGTCTCAACACTTACCTGCGCTTCCTTTCCCGTTCAGCGCCGTCATCTGAGCGAGGGCGGCCGCGTCGTACCCGGGCTGGAGTGCTGCTGCAGACGGTGGAGGTGCTGCGTTGTACTGATGCAAGGGTGCTCCCATCCGGGTGGGCATAGCCTCAGGTGTGGCGGTGGTCTGAGAGGTACTCAGGGTCCCATACTGGCTACTTCCTGGAGCAGAAGGGTACGAAGCCGCAGGGTAGACGGGAGCTCCAGAACCGCTTGCTGGCGCCGAGACCAAACTGTGATGCTGCTGCTGAAGCTGCGCTGGGGAAACTTGGTATGACTGCTGAGCGTAGAAGGACCCCGGAGGAGCGTAGGGCGGCTGCTGCTGAGTGTACTGGGCACTTGAAGGAGGAGGTGCTGAGGAAGGTATGGTGGCATACGGTTGCGAAGGAGGTCCAGCACTATACGACGGTGCTACATGATGCTGAGGGTGGCGCTGCTGGTAGTAGTTGGTGCTGTTTGTGATCGGCGCTTTGCTGGGAGCAGAAACGATGCGACCGGAAACACTGGGGTAGTTCTGATGCTGAGGAGGAGCTCCGTAGTAGCCGGCAGGCGGATACACGGATGGGTAGGCCTGCAGCGGACCTGAAGAGGAGGAGAGTCAAAAAAACTGATAAATATTATTGTTACTTTAATCCAGCGTGGACTGGACATATATACAATTTATCCTTAAAAACCTAACAATACCGCACCTGAGTAAAATGTTACGAACACAAAAAGGTTTATTGGAAATATTTAAAAGGCTGAAGGCTCAGATCTCAGACTCAGTCTGTCCAGCAGAAGCTTTTAAAAGAAACGTTAACGCAAACAATAAGATCATTTAATTTAATTTAGTGGAGGCACGTGAAGCAGTTTGTTTGCCCGTCTCTAATTCAGTCGCCATCCATTGATCTTTACATATTTATATTCATAAATACAACAAAAAAGACCAGCTTCTGTATTTTTTCTGTCCATTTTAATGCAAATATGTGAAGACTCAGTGTTACTGCTAATCTTTTTTATATTCTGTTTTTTTATATCTTGTGTGATTCCTTGTGCGTGTTCCTTTGTACTGAAACTCTGGCACAACAATTTCCTGCAGGATCAATAAAGTTCTCTTATCTTATCTTATCTTAATGCAAGGAGAAACATATATATTTAGCTGCTTATTTAATTCTAACTTCAAGCTACACAGGCGATTTTCCCCTGAAAGTTTAATTATTTTAAACACATTTGAAGCAATGTGGTAAAATGGAAACTAAATTAAACAGAAACACAATGAAATTAAAACTCTGACATAAAAAATATTACAATTTGCCTTTCGTAAAAACTTAAATATAGTTGAAGTCGATTGGAAATTCAATAAATTGTCCAACTCACCATGACTTAATTACGCCAACATGAAGTATGAAAAAACTGACAACAACCGATTACAGATCTTTAACTTTACAATATAATAAGCAATAGTTGTATTTGTTAAACCTTCTAATGAGTCAACTTATCTTGATTTAAAGCTTCAAGTGTGCTTTGTAGCTCTAGAAATGTCAGTTTTAGTCAGAAAAGGAGCGTAAAAAGTTTTAAATAAATCATAACTGTTATTTTGACAGACCTTGAAGTGGTTTGTTTTGTTAAAAAGTGTCAGACTTTTCTCAACAGTAGCTAAACTTTAGCTCAGTTTAAAAAAAGAACATCTCAAAAAGTGTTTGTCAACATACTCCAAATGATCATGTGTTTCCTGCAAATCAGATGGCTTACATTTGTTAATGAACTTCAAAATAAAGGATTAATCTACGGAAAGAGACAGAGAAATGCCAAATGCATTTAAAAAATATAGCACAATAAATAATTACGTGTATAATTATTGATTTAGGTCCGTCTTGAAATTCTACTGACTCAATATTAAAACAAAATGTTAGCACGAGGATTTTAGATGTTATCCCCATTTAAATAAATAAATAAGCACTTTGTCGCCGGCCCTACATTTACTAAAATAACAGTAAAAGCAAGTAAGAGATTAAGTGAAACGTTTGACTCGATGTCTGTCTTATCCGGGTGAAATAATGATGCGCAATCCGCTGCACCACCGAGCTAACAGCGAGCTAATACCGAGCTAACAGCGAGCTAACAGCGAGCTAACTGCTTCCCGTTCTTTCCAACGAGCTGCGTTAGCATCCGAGTTAGCACAGGATTAGCATTAGCGTAAATCCTTACTTTTCTTAAAAAATGTACGTTATTCTTTTTTATTATTAATCTACTTTACTGTATAAACTGTGAGCCACAGTGAAGGGAAGAATTCATAAGCACGAATAAGTGAACGTCTAACAGCAAGCGGTCGCCACACGGTTAGCATGCATGCTAACCCAGCACCCCGGCCTGTGTTACCGTTCTGACGGGGCGGCGCAGCTCCTCCGTTCGGCGTGGAGCTCTGGCTGTAGCCGGCAGAGCTGTTGAGGTTGGTGTAACCCGGCGCAGACATCGCTCGGTCCTCCCGTCTTCAGGCCCACAGATAGTCGGGTGAGCGCATAAACACGAGCGTCAGTGTCCCAAACCCTGGTTAATAAGCCCCCCGCCACAGAGGCGTTAAAGACGCCGCTTGGTGGTCGGTGAAGACCCGGACAGCCTTGCAGGTCGGCTGGGATCGAGGGCTGAAAACATCCAGAGCGGATGCTGAGGAGACACCTGCATGTGTTGGCGCCATCTGGTGGCGGAGCAGTGCAGGTGCGCTTCTTGATTATTTACTGTTACAGATTCAGCATTCTCACTTTTTATTTTTATACTTTTCAAAATAATTAATTTTAATTACTCCATTTTCCCTTTAGAAATAAATTTGAGATATCGTCTCTGATATTGTTTCGTATCAAATAAACTGAATTGTATATAAATAATAATAAAAAAATATATTAAATTATTATTTATATATATAAATGTTTCTGTTCAGTGCCCTGAGATGACTTCCGTTGTGAATTGGCGCTATGTAAATAAACTGAATTGAATTTTATATTTCTTCAAAAACATTAATTATTTTAAACCTGTTTCAACGTACACACTTTTTTTTTGTCTTCTAAGCTACTTTGAGCTTTTAACAGAACTATTGCTAATGTTTTGCTTTAAGCTGGCCTTTTCAAAATGAAACCTAAATGTTAGCAAAAATAGCTAGAAGCTAAATGTTAAGAACTGCTACGAATGGAAACGACCGTCTGAAGTTTTAAAAGTATTCGGCTGATATTTTCAACAGCAAATACTAAAAATATTTATATTACATTAGTACAGACAATACAGACAAATAAATGCATTTATCCATTTTGTTGGATTATGTTATGTTTCTTTTCATTTTAACTTTTTTATTAATTGCAGCTAAAGTGTTGAGTTTTATCTAAGACACATGAACGTACAGCAGCCAGTGGTTAGTTCAGGAAATACTGTATTTGTCAAACTCTCTTTTGTCTCTTTTTCAGAAAACCAAAACCCTCAAAATGCTATTTGGATTATTGTTTTTCATGAATATCTGCGTTTATCAATTATACAAATAATAAAAACTACAACAACAAATAATCCAGATTTGGTTTTTAATTCCCAAATGTATATTCAAATCATAAAATGATAAACAATTCATAGATCCAGCAAATGTCTTAATTTGTTTGATCAATTAAAGGAGGAAAAAAACATTTTTTTTTACTGTTTCTGATTTCATTTACAAGTATTCTTATAAACGTAAAAATTGTCCCACATTTTTAAAATAATAATTAAACACTAATTTTACTGATATTATATTTAAAAAACAACATTAATGAAGATTTGAGGAGTAAGGATTAAACGTCCAGAGGGATTCTGGCCCGTGTGTCCGTGCACTCGCACTCCTCTTTAGGATGTGGGGTGCCCCGATCCGCCTCACTTCGGGCCCGTCCTTTGGCCTGGCAGGTCAGGCAGCAGGCAGTGAGTCCAGCCCGTCTGCAGCCGGGACAGGACAGCACCAGCTGACAGCAGAACTGGCTGCTGCAGAGCTGGTACTGGTCCCAAGGACAGCCGCAGTACCTGCAGTCTGAACACACACAGGAAGTCAAACCAGTGCGCCAACATTGGTGATGCCTTCAGGTAGCGTTGGAATTTTAAAAACTGTTTCAAGGTGCATTCAAGGTAATTCGTTTACCTGAGATGACATCATCGTTGGAGGAGATCGCGAAGCGTTCGTCAAACACGAAAAGTTTCCCTCGATAGAAACCTTCAGGAAAACGCTCCAGATATTTATGAACTCCCCCC